ATATATATATATATATATATATATATATATATATATATATATATATATATATATATATATATATATAAGTATACTGTTGTAAGAATTTGCGGCAACCCTGTGTACGGCTGACTAGTAATAAATAACTGTCTGTGGTTACTTTAAGTGTATTCTTACACTCAATGCTTCCATTCGCAACACATTTTCTAGTAATATTGTTTTCATTGATTTATTTCGTGAAAGCTAATTGGTGTTATTTAAATTCCGCTCGTCATAACATCCATCGGCATATTGCCATTACTAAGGTTATATCCAAAGTCTTTGAGCACATTCTGCTTCTATAGATACTTCAATTACCTTGATAATCAGACGATTATATAGGTTTTAAAAAGGATCAATGCATTCCAATCATAAAGTAGTCTTGTGTAATGGGTATAAAACATAAAACAGACATTATCCCAATAGACTGAAATTGGTAAAATATCTTTCGTTTTTTGGGGTGGGTGGGATGATTTAGTGATTCACTTAACTTTACTTATCATCTAGTAAATTAAATATGAAAGACATGATTGACTGTTCTATACAAGAGCTTATTTGCTCCCCATGGAATACACAAATTGCATGTTGAGGTCAAATCCCTGCTTTTTAAAATATATTAAGATATGTTAAAATATATATTGCTTTAAACTGTTGTAAATGACTCCGAGAACACACAATAATGTATTCTGTGACTTTTCCCAAGTTGGAGAGTACGGCACCAGGCTGATGTGATGGCATTTTATGAAGTATTTTTTAATTGCCTGCAGGTAATATTCTGTCATTCAATAGGTATTTCATTCTACTATCTGATGTGGTGGGCACGTTTGTTACAACTGAATGTAGTTGACTTACGGAAATCACTTATGACTAAGACTTATATCATCTAGATAACCTGCTTGGAATATGTCCGTCGCAGGCGTCGCTCAGCTTCATATTGCGGGCCATGTTGCTGGACTGGAAAATTACCCCGACTTCCATCTCGTTACGGATTGGAAATTAAATTTACCAATCCAGAGGGTCAAACTTTCACCAGTTACTAGACGTAACGACCTATTACAACGAGCCTGTGGCTGTGTTTTACCAACCAAAATACACTGCCGTCTCTACTTTCGTTGTCATACATAATAATTTGTAATCATAATTTCCCGCCAATTGTTTTATAGTCTGAACCTGAAAAAAGACGGCATATGGAGTTATATACAACTTGTGCTTGACGAAATGCCGATAAGTAATGGCAGTGTTTGCGATGTTTGCTTATTTTGATGCTGAAATAAAGAATAGACCAGTGTTGTATATTTCATTATATTTTAAATGTTCGATTTTGGAAAACAGAAATACAAGCAATTATTGCTAACATTCAGCGTCGATGTAAACAACCACGGATATCTTGGCTTATCTCACTGGTTCGCTTTCAAAAACTGTTCTGTCGTAATTTTTTTTTTCTGAGAAAAGACGCATGTTTTGTTATTGCTCGAGCAATTTTATTATTATTCCAATATTTTCTGGAATCTAACATTAGGATTTGACGCTCAGAATACCAGTTCTCTCTGGGGCTGTCTGTGAACAAATTTACGGGACTAAACAATGCACTATTACAAGCCAAAATATATCACTTCAAGCACTGAAGTGCGATTTCGAAAGAGAAAAAACATCTCATAATGACAGCGATAAAGTTTAACAAATGGTGTGGTTGGAATACAAGCCACGTGGGTAGGCAACATTGTTTTGTATTCGTTACTTTTGATGTCTAATTATGCAAAAATATCCACCAGCTGCCTCCCAATATAAAATATACCAGAAAATAACTCAGACGTCCCCCACCCTTATTCCGATTCTTATTTTCTAGACTGACAACTAAATTTCGTCACAGGCAATGACACATGTTACTGTCACCCACGAAGTCATCATCTAGACGAAGTATAGAAAATTAACTGACTGGAAACATTGTTGATTTCACCTGCTTTCAATCTATTATTATTATCGTTGTGCCCCTGACCGCCGACTGAATACCTGACAGTATCCCCCAGAGTGTCAATTAAATGAACAGTTTCAAATTTAAAATAGGGTTTTGATTTTCGTTGTTTATTCCAAACTCGTATTTTTTAAAAGGGCGATGCTACCACAGGCATGAACTCAGGAATTGCTGCTTGACTTTAAATTGTAATTAGTTGAAATCACGCAAAAATAAGATTCAACTTCACTTGGCCGTCCTTAGCCATTGACTTTTACTATATATTTCAATTAAGCTATGTATTTTTAAAACAGTTAAAAGCGTAACTTTAAAGTTAATGTATTTTTAAGTGAATCGTTTGATGTTTTTGAACAGCTCTATCTACAACAGCGACTCGAAGAACATGAAAGAACGCTTGAAAATAATTATGGTTACTTTCATAATATTTCAAGAATCAGAATATAAACTTATTTAAATCATTTAAAAAAGTGTGCACATAAATTAAAATGTCCTTATAAGGCAAATTCCAATTGTTTGATATAATAAGCCTACAAAATAGTAACAACCCTATTTTTGACGTCATTCTTTCTTATTGCCGAAAATGAGCCAAACAACTAATTGCTTTTCGTTTTACATAGAAAGGGCAGGTGTCAAACAGACTGCAACAACTCAAGTTCATCCTAGTTTATTTATTGGGGTTTTTAAAAAAAATGATATATTTTTATTGCATTTGAAGAAGACTGTTTTCGGCTTCTACTTTCAACTTTTTTTTTCGTAAAATTTTCTTTAATTTTTCCAGTCACCCTAGCTGAATGTCATTTTCACACTTAATTTTTAACTTATTTTTTTTCGCAAACTTTTCAGCCACCCTCTGTGATTTCAAATGGGCGACCCTTTATAATTATTACATGATAGTACATTTGGTTAGGAGGCTGTATATTTTTTTTAATTCTGGACATTACTTGATACAGCTACTCTTTACTCAGCGTCACTCTGTATCTACTGCTTGGTCATGCTCATCGTCTGAGGGTATATACATGGATTGTCAATATTATACCTTTCATGCACTCACATCCCTTTGTGAAAAATTAGAAATTACTTTTTACGGCTTCAAGGTTTTCATCTGTGTCCCATATTACTTTCAAATTAGGTCCTTCAGTGTTTCATATGGGGGCATGTTAATGTTTCTATTGTGGGATTGGTTGTACATCTTTGAAATGAAGCATGTACATAGCCAGTATAAATGAAGAGCATTGTGGTTTGGTAATCCTCCCCATGTGTCCTTACCTTAATGGTATTTCTGATTTTTTTGAGCCACACATAATGTATTTGCTAATCTCCGGAGTTATGTGATTTTATGGGACAAATTCACTGTGATATTGTTTGTAATATGCACAGCCAATAAGTTTGTAAAATTACATTAAAGCAGAAAAATTTGTACCACTGGTGTCAGCAAGTGACAAATTTAAACTCTGGTCACATATGAAAGAGTGTTAAGAAATGCTGCTTTCCCAAGTACCAAAAAACAAAGAGAAAAAAAAACTGACCCAACCAAACAAGACTATAAGCTGAACCAAACAGATCTGTTCTTCTTCTCTTGCCGAGTAATCTGAAATAAGAAGTGAAAACAAAACAAAACATTTTAATGTCATGTATAAGAAAAAAAATAATTGTCTAGAATTTAATATGTTAATAACCAGGTCAAACAGTACATGTACTGACATTTCTGTTCCACCTGTAGTACAGAATTAGAAACAGAGCCTGAACATACGATAAACTGCAGAAACAAATGTGGAGGGAACGACTGTTCAGTGCATTATGAGATGGTCAATATATGTATATCTGTTGTTACTGAATATGGTGCATCTTGTAAAATAATGAATCTGCTGTCAAGTTGTCTTGCCAACCAGTGACTACTTGGTAACTGTATTTCTCAGTCTGAACGTAGATGGCAGTATTACATAAATGGTATTACATGCAAAGTACATAGCTTCCATCGAAGGGGATGTTCGGGTAATCTAACAATGACATGTACGGATCTTGGCCACTTTTATATGTTTTTTTTATTAGGAAGTTACAGTACAGTTACAGTACAGTATTAACGAGTGATGTGTTATAATTGTATTTATAACACATCT